AAATGTTTTCTTAATTATTATTTTATTATCAGTATATTTGGTTATATCTGTGTTTTTGATTTTTTTTTGTTGTTGTTGTTTTTAATGGGGCTCGAGATACAGTGGGTACGGGAAAGAATTCAGACCTCCTTAAATTTTTCACTCTTTGTTATATTGCAGCTGTTTGCTAAAATAATTTTAGTTTTTTTTTTTTTTTTTCCCTCATTATAGTCCACAACGCACCCCATATTTGAGTTATTTTAGCTGTGTGCTTAGGGTCATTGTCTTGTTGGAAGTTGAACCTTCGCCCCACTCTGAGGTCCTCAGCACTCTGGAAGAGGGTTATCATCCAGGATATCCCTGTACTTGGCCGCATTTATCACTTTCCTTTGATTGCAATAATAAAATAAATCTGCAAAATTAGATTTTTCCGTCAATATGAGGTGCTGTTTTGACATTAATGAGGAAGAAAATTTTAACTTAAATGACTTTAGCAAATGGCTGCAATATAACAAAGAGTTAAAAATTTAAGGGGGCGTCTGAATACTTTCCGTACACACTGTATGACTGGATCGACACGAGTTCTGTTGTGGAACGACTTAGACCCGCATCACTGGATCGACACGAGTGCTGTTGTGGAACGACTTAGACCCGCATCTCGAGGTTCCACTGTACTCCACAATTCAGAGTTTACTACACCAATAAAAAATTAAAAAGGAAATCAAACATCTGGTGTCCTGTGCATTCTGATCGATGCCCCCAGTGGCTACAAGCTGTAAATACCACCACAACGCCCCTGCCCAGTGGGGGCGGTGTCATGTTATTTTTATTTTTATACTATTATTATTTGTTACATTTGTACACCATCCTCAGTACTAGTATTATTGTTTATTGTTTTATTGCACAATAATGTTACGAGTTGCGCTTTCCATTCGCTCTCTCTTGCTCTCTCTCTCCATCTCTCCGTGATTGTGTCTATATTATTTTTGTTTAATCCTGTCTCTTTTTTTTTGTCTCTTTTAAGGCTGACTTGTTTCCAAATGTGCTGATGTACTTTGGCTCTGAGGATAAAACAGGTTTTTAAAATTTTCGTACTCTTTGGTACTTGAGACTGTCAAGGTTGGAATGGTCAAAAGAAAAATGCTGCTGCTCATACCGTGCTTCAGAATTGTTCTGTTTGGTCTATTGACAGATTCTTATATAAAGCGGGAACTTCTTGACTCATCTGTTCCCCCCCTGCGAGCAAAAGCATGTTTTTCAAGGTAAGTTTTTATTGTGAAAATAGTGAATCTACTATAGCTTTTGGTTCTTTACATTTTGTTTAAGTACTTGTTCTAAAAACGTTGTGTGCAGGCACGTGCATTTATTGTTTGTGTTTAGAAACATCTGTTGTATAGCACTGATCGTCTAATAATACCAGCTGACTGTGCGAACAGAAGAGCTACACTTCACCTACATGTTTAAAGACAGCAAAATTGACTGCTTTCTGCTCTAGTGGCTCAGACGATACCCCCTTGCCCTCAGTGCAGACATCAGACACCAGGGAGTCTACGCTGGAACAGCGAGCTACATCTTCGCACATCAAAGCTGCTAAAACTGCCAGATGTGACGCTGAAAAGTTGCCCAAGTGGTTCAAACCCCCCGGTAAATAATATCGTCACATTAGCATGCACTCTCATTTGCAGTTTTGTTTTGGGCCATGTTTATATGTTACTTTGTTAATGTCTGAGCAGTTTTAGTAGCCCATTGTAATACTAGTTTTGAAGAATGTGGTTCAGTATATTGATGTGAGAGTATTCAACCTATATTTACCAAAGCATCGGTTGAAAATATTTACTTTAGTGCTTACTAAACACTACCTGCATCATATTCGAAAGAAATGTATTTTAATTACACACACCTACATGTATATATATATATATATATATATATGTGTATATATGTATATATATATATGTGTATATATATAGTGCTGTTGTGGAACGGATTAGACTCGTATCTTAAAACCCCACTGTATATACAGTATGTTTATATATGTATATATATATGTATATGTATATATATGCATATGTGTATATATATGTATATGTGTGTGTGTTTACATGTATGTAAATTATGTGTATATATGTATTGAAATGCAAATTTAATTGTTGATGTGTATTTAAAGTTGCAAAAATCAGTACATTGAACAGAAGAATTGTTTTGTTTTGTCATCGGACATTTCATGATAGGTATAATTTTTAATTGGTGTTTCTCACTTCCTGTCTAGGTAAAAAATAGGACTGGGAATAGTCACCCGGGTAAATGTCTGCAGTTCCTTTCTGGTTTGTAAACTGAGGAGCAATTCCGTGCAGCACGCACGGAATTGCCACAAGACTCAACATCACAACTTTAGTGGACATGGGTTTTTTTTTTCTTGACATGTGGTTTGACTGAATTTGTTGTGGATTCGTTTGATATAAAAAGGACTCTTCAAATCAGAAGTTAAACCCTTTAAAAGTAAATAAAATTTGCTGTTAAAAACAGGTCTGTTTTTTTTTGTTGTACTTGAAAGAAATGCAAAAGAATAAACCCTACAAAGATAATTCTACTCAGATTCTGAAGTACTTCACTCAGATGTTCTTGTAAATAATAATAATAATTAAAATAAAATATATATAAATATTAAAATCATCATTTTGCTTTCTCTATATAATTCTCAAGGATTAACACAATTAAGAGAACATCACCAGCCAAGGCACTGCCATTTAGGATATACACACATTCTGGGGAGTTCAAATGTCTCCTTGCTTCTTGCAATGTGAGTGAAGGAAAACACAAGGAAGGAGGATAAGTATTAGCGCAGGGGCTACTACTCAAATGACCAGGCTACAGTCAACTACCTATAATAAAAACATTACATAAATACTTACCGTATATGGCAATTATGACAACACAGTATTACATTTATATGTGTATATATATATATATATATATATATATATATATATATACTGTACATAATTATATGTAAAAATAATAACAAAATTGTAAAATTGACAAATGTACATTTCAGAATTATACAAAAAAGGGAACACCAAGTGGGTTAACAATGTAAAGCTGCTCTGCAGCAATGAAGGTTTAATCATAATTTCTCAGGTGTTCCAACTTTTCCGAATTATTTTCAACCCTCTCTGTCTCAGTTTTAACTGTAAAGAGAAGACTTCGAGCTGCAGGTTTGACAGGACGAGTTGCAGCAACAAAGCCATTGCTAACATGTCAGAATAAGACAAAGGCTCTACTGGGCCATGAAACAAAAAACAAAACTAGCCCAGGAAAAAAAAAGAACAAGATGGTAAGCTTGAAAACATAGAGTGGCCAACACAGACTTAAACCCCATCGAGCTGGTTTGGGATGAACTGGACAGAAGAGTGAAAGCCAAGTAACCTACAAGTGGCACACATCCATGGGAACTTTTGCATCAGACTTGGGAAGAATTCTCTGAAGAATATTTGATTTTTATTGTAGAAAGAATATGTATGCATCAATGACACAATAAACTGAATCATTTTCAGTAAAAAACTGGTGTTGGTCTTCTAAAAACCTTTGACCGGTACTGTATACATACAGCCAAAGAAAAGTTCTGGAAAATACTTTTAGGAAAAGGAAAAGCACCCTGAGGTGATACAGATACATTAAGACTATGTTGTTCCCCTGAAAACACAACAGAGCAAAGCAAGAAAACTGACCACATGGATGTCATAGATGTCACTCACATCTATGGCTTTAAAGGTGCAGCACCTTAATTCTACATATATATTTATAAGTGTAGCCTGGAAAGATTTGTAACTTTAAGAAACCATTGCGCAATTCCATAAAAGTATACCTTATATATACTGTATATATTTAGTTTTAACGAGCATGATTCATAATTTGTAACTGACTGTAAACATGTTTTCAAAATTAATGCTCGGTTTGTTTTAGTAAGTTGGTCCAAGTCAACGTGTCCGGCGAAAACCACTGAACTGACGCAATCTGAAAGTCCCACCCACATTCAGTAATTCAGTTTCCAATTGGTTAGGCGCTTAAATGAGCCCTGTTGCGACTGGACGAATTGGATGTTTGTTACTAGTTGAGCACCGTACTAAGACTGAAAGGAGCAGGAAGCCACGTTGACTTAGATTTAGTCTTCCATGGAGAGGGTACTCTTTGTGGCCCCAGGGACGTAACGGACCCAACGCCTTCTTCCTATTTGCATCACCCCTGTCTCATCCCAAGAAAGGTAACTTATCAATCTAAAGGATCTCAGGGAATACTACTATGTCGGCGGTTGTACATGTTGTTTTTGAGCAGCTACGCTGCAAAAATGTGGTCACAGTGTAGCCGGTAATGCTACCAAGAGCCACCTCGTCCGCATGTCGTTCACAAATGTGGCGAAACATCACTATTTTTGTCTTTAACAAATTCTTACTTTAACAGTCGACGTCCGACACAAACTAGCCACGGTTATGATTTCCCACTTAACAATTCTAAATCGTTAATCACGGCTGTGTTGTTTACATGTTTTAATAATTAAAAAAAAATCACATATTGCTTTAAATTTCGAAATACTGTCTCATACCGAAGAAATAAATGAAATGTGCGCTTCTGAAATGGTATAACAGTAAGTACTCCACGAGCCACCAACAATAGGGAAAAATTGCAGTAAAATTGTTATAATATTTAAGGAGCTATATTATCTATTTAAACGCAACTGTCTAAAAACAGACACTGGGGGATGGAATTTAGGGATGGAATTTGGGGACGGTCCCTTATCTGCGTTGTAAAAAAAACAAGTGTAATTGAAATACATTGTACAACACGACGTAATTGAATTTCAGTAACTTATAGGCAGAGGTGGGTAGAGTAGCCAAAATTTGTACTCAAGTAAAAGTACTCTTGTAAAAACTACTCAAGTATTAAGTAACTGAGTAACATCTGATTTATTTAAATGGACAAAATTACAGAGAGAATTACAAATTAATTAAATACCTTAAAATAATGTTTAGGTAAATTGAAGTACTTTAAAAAACAAAACGATTTTAGGTCAACCTTACCGCAACATGTTTCCTCAGGTTAGGCAAAGTTTTTGGTTGCTGAAATATCCGTTTGTTTTGGGAAACACAAAAGACACCGCAGGATGTAACTGCTGTTTTGCACTGTTTGTAAACTGAACATGCTTTTAATTTGAGTTTATTTAAAAAGGTAATAATTTTAATTGTATTCTCACATTAACTAAGTCTATACTTGAAGATGATTTGGTGTAGATTCAAAACATTTTGTAAGTTAGATTTACTTACTCAAACTAACACTAATATTGTTTTAATATGAAATAATAAAATATTTAATCAAAAGCAAAATAAAATGAACCAGAACAATGAATATTTTCATGTTAATTGGTAATTTTAAAAAATCTATACAGTGCTGTACAATATATATCGATATTGTATATATGCAAGAAATATTGCAATATATCACTTTCTTACCTACCCTAGCAATGCAGTTGGTGTTTTTGATAGTAAAAAAATGTCAAAAGGAGTGTTTTGGCTGTTTTATACAGGTTTTAGGGACCCGATCATTTGACAAGATGAGTGTTGGATTCATTGGAGCGGGCCAGTTGGCACATGCACTGGTTAAAGGCTTCACAGCTGCAGGTGAGCCTAATCACACATGTTAAAGCAACTGAAGATATTGTTATATATATGCGTACATACATACATACATACATACAGACATGCATGCATGTATACAGACATACATGTACACACATGTATATGTGTATATATATGTATGTATAAATATATTTTTATATATACACACATACAGTGGGTACGGAAAGTATTCAGACCCATTTAAATTTGTCACTCTTTGTTTCATTGTAGCCATTTGCTAAAATCAAAAAAGTTCATTTTATTTCTCATTAATGTACACTCAGCACCCCATCTTGACAGAAAAAAACAGAAATGTAGAAATTTTAGCAAATTTATTAAAAAAGAAAAACTGAAATATCACA